GTCACCTGCCCCTTGGGCAGAGCAGTGCCTGCTCGGGGCCTCCTGCCTGCACCGGGCATTGCTGCGGTCACCGTGGGCAGGTGTGTGACGTGTGGTGGCCCAGGAACAGGTACAGAGCTGTGGGTTGTGCAGCTCAGGTGAGTATGAGCTGCTGAGTGCTCTTCGAGGGTTGCTGATGGCACTGCCCACCCCTCCCATCCCCCCCAGTCTCTGCTCCTGCCATGGGGGCTGTGCTGGGATGGACCCAGAGAGCTGTGATGAGGAACAGCAGGGGCTACACAGGGATGGACCCCAGAGAGGTGTGATGAGGAACAGCAGGGGCTGTGCTGGGATGGACCCCGGAGAGCTGTGATGAGGAACAGCAGGGACTGTGCTGGGGTGGACCCCGGAGAGCTGTGATGAGGAACAGCAGGGGCTGTGGTGTGTGGGGTGATGGGGGAACTCAGCGCTGTGAGGAACAGCAGGGGCTGTGGTGTGTGGGTTGATGGGGGAACTCAGTGCTGTGGCTGGGAGGTCGCCCAGAGCTGTCTCCCTCCTCCTGTCACACATCTCTGCATCGCTGTGTTCCACCTCCACGTCTGGCTTTGGAATCACTCTGGAGGAGCAGAGCCAAGTTCTCCTAACAGCCTTTCAGCACAAGACTAGCTCTTGTGCTGCCAGAGCAATTAGCTGCTGTGTCGCAGAACAGTTTTCCACCAGGCTGCTGATGGCTGCATGGAAGAGGGGACAGAGGTGTCAGTGAGCCAGGGCTCTGTGGAGTGTTGTTGACTGAGTCTGTCATGACCCTGTGATGCTCCTGCCAGTGATGACGTGACTTGTGCGATGCTGTCACTGACTGAGTTTCATCCTGCTCGTGTTGCTGCAGGGGACACAGAGTCATTCCAAGGCTCTCTCCCAGGGTTAGTGCTTGTTGCGGGGGCACAGGAGAAGGCTGTTACCAGGGGTGTCCCTGGAGTGAGCAGGCAGACAGAAGGCAGTTCCAGGGTTACTTCCAGGGTGGCCCTGTTTTGAGAGGCTGTCAGAGTGTGCGGAGCTGTCCAGGTGACGTCCCACGGCTGGGCCCAGCTCTTGTGCTCTGCCCTTCCAGGGAGATAAAGAAAGATGAACTTTAGCTCTTGAGCTACTTTTAGCAGCTCTGCTCCGAGCTCTGGATGGTGTGTTTACCCCTGGGCTTGCATCATGCCGTGCTTGGCCGTGGCCATGGCTTGATCCTGGCTCCTTGGCTCTGTTCCAGAGACGGAGGAGAGGCTCGCTGCGGAGACCGTTAAACCCAGTGGAATCTGAAAGGCTCAACCCTCAGGTTTCTAACCCAGGCAAGAAAGGCTTCCCAGGGGTGAGGTTGGCCAGGGAGATGCTCCTGCCTAGGGTTCCAGTGCTGACGAGGTCAGAGCTTCCCTAACTCTGCATTAAGAAGCATCACAGGGACCCTTTCCCTCTGGGAATGTCGGTGCTGCCTTCTGTGGATGCTGGGAGCTGGAGTTTGGTGCTGTGAGCTGGCTCGTCCTGCAGCTCTTTGTGGCAGTGGGAAGTGGCTGGTCCCCATCCAAGTGCTGCGGCCGCAGGGCAGCCTGGGAGCTGTGCTCTTGGCCCTTTGGTGCTCTGCAGATCTGGGCTCCAGCACTGCCCGGAAATCCCGGGATTGTGACTTTCTTGTGGAGCATCTGCTTGGATCAAGGGTCACAGTCTGGTTTAGCTGTTGACACCTGACAGGGGAAAGTCCACGAGTTGCTTGGCACAGGTGCTGTAGGGGCCAGCTGGGTACCTGCCTCCCGTGCCGCAGTGCTGCGGCTCCGTCCTGGGCTCAGGGCTGGGGACGCTGCTGTGGCAGGGGCTGAGCTGGGGCAGC